ATTGATATACGCTTCACATATACCAATAATAATCACGCATATAGGATATAAAAATATTATTTGTTCAGGTTTACTTCTAGCCATATTCATCACCAAAGACGAAACTTCTCGCACTCCATTGTGTCAATAAGCCAATTAAAGCCATCATCTATACATCATCAGTGATGTAAAGATCAGAACTTTATGTTTCTTCCTAACTTTATGAGAGCTTCAGAAGTTTATGTTTCTTCCTAATGACAGACTTAATATCAGCAGTTACCCAAGGAGGCCTTGCTTTTCTTACAGATATAAACTTCACAGGAAAGGATTCGTTACAAATTTTTGAAAGCTCGGATATAAAAGAGTGCATTGCTAAGTTGGGATCACTAATATTTGACAAAATTTCCGGTGGGAAGGATCGCATTCTCTCCTTAAACTGTTGAATATTGTCATCATTAATTAAGTTAACAGAACTTCAACTTAAATCTAGTTTACAATTCAAAATATTGAACTAGGTCAACAAAAATTCGGAATTTGGAATGAAGATAATCAGTGCCGATTATATATGCTTACAATGAATCCTTAATATCTGTAATAATAATATTTGTCAAATGATATTCTGATATGCTGGAAAGAAACGTTCACACATCTAAAGTAATACTTTAAATTAATATTAATGGCACTACTAGTCGGAATCCTCCAAGTCTGATTCATTAGCCCCAAATCAACTAGTAAGTTTGTATTTAACGGAACAGCAATTAAACTTTTTATTTTATACGTCGAAAATACAACAAAGATAAGGTCATAATAGATTTTTTGCCGTTGAGAGCCGTAGAAAAAATGCCGGAAAACGGCCTACATGGCAACCCTGGTACCCACCTCTGCCACGGTATCCTCGGCCACCACGTTAGGAGGCCGGGCGGTTAAGCACAGCAGAATTGTAGCAGTGAGTTGCGAGTTCGAGACCGCAAAATGCTGTTAATGTTCTGCGATGTTAAGAATCGGTGACTGGCCTATGGCCTGATAACGCTGAAACCGCTATTTTTTTATTATAGAGACAAATTATCAATTTTTTCATATGAATTTGAAATTTATTTAACAAGAAGTATAATGAAAATAATAATATAATAGTAGTAATTTTAAATTTTTACTCCTCTAAATTATATAGAAATTATGGATTGCAACAACATATGCTGATGTGCAGTACTGGGCACTGAATTGCATTGTAAATGTACATGCACTGTAGGCAGTGCCATGCAGGGTTGCCAGACGGTCTTTCTTCCGTACAACTTCCGCGACTCAGTTTTTTTCACTTGCGTTGGCCGGCTAAAATTTATGATAGGGGCACTTCCTACATAAATATGATTGGGATTCTTCCAAATAAAAAAAAAAAGAAATGGAATTTTTACTGCTGAACCTACAAATATACATACTAGTATATATCGAGTTATAGGCCTTTTTGGCCTGTTTTGTCGCGTTTTTAGGACATCTGGAAACCCTGGTCAGTGCTATATTACAATAATTTGCGAAAAGTAAACGACACTAAATTCCTTCTCGTATCTAAATTGCAGATGGAGCCACGGTGCAAGAATATACGAATTTGAGTTGAAAATTGTTCTATATAATTTATGTCATGAGAGGGTTCGAAGTATGCTACGAATAAATTAGTTTAGCTTCAAATCGCGTTCCTTTTCTTTCTTACTCAGTTACTGTTTATATATTTCACATATTGTTCATGTGAAAGAATCCGATAACTTAGGTAAAGCCAGTATATGCGCTCAGTTTTACAAGAAGATTTGCTTGCTATGTTTATATCTTTCCAGGTGAAACGTTGTAAGTTGACTGGCAGACTGGAACATATAGCGATATCTGAGCTCCAGAGCATAGAATTCGATGAACTGCGCAGATAAGTCGGAACGTGCAGACGGTAGCGCCGTTTTCCGGTTCAATTTGTACTCAGTCTCAATGATTCTGGCGACAATGGCGTAAATATAATATCAGGAACATTACCTGCGGTAATGTTCTTGGAAATTTATTGCTTCATACGAAAGATTTTCTTGCCTTTGGCGGGTAAATTTCAAGGATTAAGGGACATAACAGGGACAAAAAAGGTGGAGACATATAAGAGCTTAGTAGAAAAATAAAAAAAAATCTATGGAAGCGCAAACAAAAACAGCTGTAAAAAAATAAATCATAGGAGGAGTATTTACCGTAAATAATTGGGAAAAAATTAATAAATCGATTCCATCTGGAGCTGGAGAAGATGACATCTACAGGCCATCTCTCTGGTATTTTGATTCCTCACATTTCCTAAATGGCTAAATGATACAATATTTTTTTAACAAGGCACAATGCCAAAATTGACCAAAATACTGACAAAATCCATGGCGAGATCGCATAAAACTGAGCAAACTATACAGATATGTTGGCACCGTGTGGACGCTCTAAAAATTGCAACGAAGGATGGAGGGTGCTGTAGTAAGGCGTTTCACTTGGAGAAAAGAATTGTTTTATGCAATATAGGTCTGAAATTCATTGAAGTTATCCCTAAACTTTTTCGCTGTTTCCTCTTGATCATAGAGCATGTGGCCACGGATTGTAGTGACGGGGTAGCATATTTAAACCGACAGGTGTGATATTCGCCATCTAGGCCTTAATAAAATGAAACGCGTGAATTATTTCACAGTTTAGCGGGTAAGGATATTTTCAGGTAAACTCAAACCAATTTCAATACACAGTTGCTGCTTTCTTAAATATTTCCTTGCGACTGAAGTAAGTGAAAAAAGTTCCGTCCCTACATCACGGTCGCTGTGAGTCAATTTGATCTTTTAATATAGATGTCTTATTATTATCTCTGAAAAAAGAAACACAAATGGAGCTCATTACACATTTTTAAGCATATTCTGGATGTACAATTTTATATACTCTGATGCAGCCATCGAACGTTCATAGTACGTTTAACATAGAAAAGGTTCAGACACGTCAGCCGAATTTTGTATTTAATCCAGTTACTCTTCAAATCAGGAAAATGTCGTTCATGCTCAGTAGTGGTGTACGACTCCCATTTTTCGAGATACAGTGTTATGCGAAATGTTCATTTCTTAAATATTATTATTTATTGAAGCCTGTACCTACCGTTAGGTGATACGGCTGCTAAATGATTGTGTCGCTGTAGAAAGGAAATTCCTCGATGTGATTGCGGCAGCAGAGTTGGTCTTATTATCACTGAATGTGATTATAATTCTAGTGAATTATTCCTTCCATATATCAATAATAATTACGCATATACAGTATTATATAAAAATATTATTTGTTCAGGTTTACTTCTAGCCGTATTCATCACCGTAGATGAAACTTTTCGCACTCCATTGTGTCAATAAGTCGAAGTATTTCGAATTTAAGCCATCCTCAATCATCTTTACATCGTCAGTGATAAAAATTTGAACCGTTCAAGCAGAGAACATATAGGCCGCCGCGCATGCGCATAACTGACAAATACGCCGTCGCGCATGCGCGCAACTAATAAATACGCCGTCACGCATGCGTATAACTAATAAATACGCCGTCGCGCATGCGCACAATTAATAAATACGCCGTCGCGCATGCGCACAACTAATAAATACGCCGTTGCAATGCAGCTGTAACTGCAGGCCTCACTTCTTTAGCCTCTGAAAATCATGCAGAAAAACCAAGATTGGATATTTTACTGAAGATTTGCTTGAACTTTCCAGATTTTGGAATGAATTTTCTTGAGACGTGGTAGGAGGGTTTAATAGATAATATCTTCTTAACCTTTACTGTAGAAATAATCGATGAAGAGAAGTCTAATGGTATTAAATTCTAATATTATGATACTTAATTTTATACAAGATAAATTTCACATGCACAACTCTCCAGAAATTCAAATAATATTATCAACATTTGTTGTTTTTATGAAATCGTCTTCTCGTATTCTCACTTCCACTCTTAGTTACTGGGATAATTTTCGTGTCCCTCAATAATTTCGTATTCGTGCATTGAATTCCGATGCGCGCATGGATTGAAAATCGTTGAAAGTTTCGTGCATTTTTGTCACGACTACACGACGAAGAACTTCTGCCGAATTACTCCAACATATAAAGTACCTAGTGTTGCTTGGCAGAAGTTCTTCATTTATGCCAGTTTGATTGAAGACCATAGCAAGCTTTTTATTAACAATCTTCTCATTCGTTTTTTTAACGAGTCAAAGAAAATTTCTTGCTGGCGCCGGGAGACCAAGAAGCAGGTTACCAAACGACATTTTAATGGAATGTGACGTTTCGAATATGCAATATTCATTATCAAGCAGGTAAAGGTTTTGCAACACTCGAAATTTGGAAATGACGTATGTACATACAAAAGATATCGTAGAGACGTTCGAAATCAAAATTTAAAATTGTTTTAGGAACAAATTTAACAATCTGACATATGTGGTGGTTGCAAGTTGATAGCCGGAGTAAAGTTCATGTCTGTGAGTGAACGCTGGACGCCGTGTGCATAGACTGTGGGTCCAAAACACGTCACACGTGTGGGCTCGGCACAAGCCAAATGTGGAAAATTGAGTTGGTCTGAGTGCCTGATAAAGACCGATATTGCTCTATTTTACTATGGATTACTTAGTTTACATTTATTTCATGTCAGATATGCCTGACTGACGTGTTTCTCTTAGTATGCTGCCTACCTATTTTATTTATCTCATGCCGACATATTCCATTTGCTGGTGCTTGAGTTTGCCCAGGGCAGTCGATCAGGTTGTTGTGTGCTCATCAATCAAATACTGTCCGGTAGCTTGTTATTACATGTCTCAATTGTTTGAACGATTGAGTGACCAGTTGACAATGATCAATTTGTATTGAGGGAATTCAAACAGTGGATATGCTGCCGTGCTGCTAACGCTAAGTGTAATGGTCTCGGCTGCTCTACGCCTCTACCCCGCCCTGCTACTAAACAGGGTTGCCAGACGGTCTTTTTTTCCGGAAAATTCCGCGATTTATATTTTTTTTAATTGCGATTGCCGGCTAAAATTTATGATAAGGGTACTTCCTCACAGCTGTATACATACAAGCATGCACGGCGGCCATGCACAGGTTTGAGAATGGTGCCACTCATGTTCTATGTAGGTACTGTTATTGTAGCTATATTTATCGTCATCTAGGCGTGTCTTTTCGTGAGTTTTATTTATTTGAAGTAGTTAGTGTAAGTGATGCCTGAGGCTAAACCAGCATTCATTTACTCTGTTCTGTTTTGCCTCAAATGAGCATTTATTTCGGAGGCTCGGACCATTCACTAATACTTGCCTTTTTTAAACTCCTAAAATCTTGTTCTGAGCTACGCAAGAACTGATCTCTCTTACATTCTGAAGCATGTGACATTTGACAAGTGTCCGGTGCTTGTTGATGACACTTTCCTGCCTGGAGTGCTCTGGCTTGTGGCTGGGCCCAAGCTTTCTCCTTTTGCCCCCAACTAATGACTGAGATCAGCATCAGGCTGGGCAGTGCATTAGCACACGAAGCCATCAAATTCAAATCATCATCATCATCTGATCTCTCTTAAGAGCATTGACTTGCTGTACAGGGTACCTACAAGAGGCTAAAGGCCTACCAGCAACAAGCCTTCAGGCCCGACGGTCATTGATCAGGCCAGGACTGCCAGGGCTGAAATAGTTATACTTTTATCTGAATTATCGTGGCTCTAAATCTCTAATAGCTATAATATAATTTTAGAAGGTATGAAATCTTGGACTTGGGCCTCTAATGTCATGTATTTTTGTTTGACTGAAAAAATTGTGGTTTGTAGGTAGTATAAAATTTAATTATTTAATACATGGTACATGCCTAAGCACTCAATGATTTATTTAATGCAATATTTGCCGCTTCTAAACGACAAAATCATTCAGAATCTAAAGTGAAATTATTTAGAGAATATTACAAAATAGTACAAAAACATTAAAAAATTCATATCTGGATGCATATCATATCAATATGTGTTTATATTTTGAAACTAATTTCCATCATTTAAATCTCAGTGAGAATTTGGATCAAATCTATTTATTGTGAAACCAAACTTGGCATTACCAAAATATGGTGTGGGACACCAGCTTGGCAATGGCATCTTGTCATATGTTAACATCACTGCAAGATGTGTCATATGCCATGAAAGATTTGCAGCTTATCCCATCATTTTGTGTGTTTTTAAAAACTGTTGGTACTAGGGAAATTGTGAAATTTTCTGCTAAAGTTGATGCATTTTTTTTTATTTTAGAACATATTCATTGCAAAATTTTGTCAGCTACAGATAAACAACTAGTGAATGTAATCAAGTAAGGTATTGTTAACCTGATATTGGATTCCGAACTACTCGCGATATCAGAAACAATGCAGAAGGTGCAACGAGGTAGGCATTTTGATCCATGCTCTTATACTTTTCTTATATAATCATGAGAATGTATTACCTATCAGGCTATCCAGAATTCCACACTGCTCCTTATATTACATATCCTAGCTACCATAGGTATGGTCTTAACCCACTCATTGGTAACCTCATGCAATGGTAACCCTCATGCAGGCCTTTACAGTATATTATATGTTAATATTATAATTATAGTAGTTAACTCTCATAGGAACTAACCTATTAGTTATTATGATGAAGTTCAATTATATACTTGCTGCTTTTTGTGAGAAATTCCCTCATTTACCTGCAATTGTATTCCAGAATTCTATAACCAACTGTGATGAATATATACTGTAGTATATATCTATGTATATTGGCTTGGAACTGAAAATTGCCTGTAAGTTCCTCAACTCTTGATCATGACTTTTGCTACCATATTTTTTGGAAGCCATTGCACACAAAAGCTATAAATTCTCTGTGCCTTTGAAAATTATGAGCAACTACCACAAGGTTATGCACTTGATCTCATATTATTTTGCATTTTTTCTTCAAAAAGAAGTTTTAAATATAGTATTGCCATTTATTCAAGGACCTAATTAAAGCATAAGAAAGTATACTTGTTAAGAAACTGTTGATAAATTTTCTGTGAATTCCTTCCAGTAGTGACCTTTGGAGTTTTGGAAACAAGATACTGGGAGCATTGAAAATATTGTGACAGTTCGGCCATGTATTTTCCAGCCCTGCGAAGTGAGCTTGCAGCTTTGTCCAAGAAGCTACTTGGAGTCATTGGGTGAGATAAATATTCTTAGATCTTATTTTGTGGAAGTTTTGTTGTCAAAGTTTAATATAATGTGTGAAAAATCCATGTTTGATAAGGACTAATATGTATGTTAAGATAAAAAATATCATGTTCTCATATTGTGCTGTCTGTGTAAATATATTTGGCTCAATATACCAATATTTTTCTTAATAAAAGATGATGCCTTACATATAAAATGAGTAGCACAATATTATCATTGGCCAAACTATAGTTTGTGAAAGATTCTTGAAGGACAATAAAGTGCTACTCTGATTCAACTTTCCTTCTAGTCAGCAGATGTTGGACTGATTATGAATGCCAGAGATTTTGGAAATAGTTGCCTCTAGCCTTAGTTTGGGGCATGTTTTTGCTGGCTTTATTTTTCTTAATGTCACTGCATTATTATTATCATTAAGTTCACTTAGTTCATTTATTACATAATTTTCAAAATGTTATTATGAAATGAGTTTCAAGCAAATATGATTAAATGTTATGGTTAAATGTTAAATATGTTAGACCTGACAAGGCATGTGAGCATGATTGATTAGATGACTTCCATCCAGGATGTGTACCGGTCATGGAAAACCTGAATAGTCATGGAATTTGATTTTTCATTTTCCAGGCCTGGAAAGTCATTAGATTTCATTTCAGGTCATGGAAAGTTATGGAACAAAAGGCGTTTTGTTTTCCTTCAATGAAGTTGATGTTGCTTACATGGCCAGGACCATGATAAAAAAAAGCTTGCAGACAAGAAGGCAAGAATACTGGACAAGTTGAAGAAGTGTCCAGTAGTCTTCAACTACTGGACAAGTTGAAGACTACAACACAGTTGAAGAACTGTCTCAATTTGCTTGTTGATGCCAAGAGATTCCCTAACACAGATGTGGATGAGATGTGCAACTTTAGAGATGAATCACAACATTGCATTAAATTGAACACACAGTTTCAAGTATTTTCAACTTCTGATGGTCTAGCAGAGGTGGGCAGTAGCACGCTACATGTAGCGGCCGCTACATTTTCAGTAGCGGTAGTGGCACTACATTTAAGCAATTGTAGCGGTAGCGGTAGCGCCCGCCTATTTGGGTGACGGTACGTGACGGTACCTATTTCCGGACGGCAACTTGCCGTCCGGAAATAGGTACCGTCAAATGGGGTAAAAAGGGACGGTTCTGAGCGTTTTTTGTTTATAACTTCTTACCATGAAACATTTCAGAAACAAGTTTAGGCTCATTTTATAGCTCTTTGCGAGGGCTATCGAATGGCATCTTCAAAAAAATTCCACATGCTATTTGTAAGGTGCTAGACGCAATATAAAAGGCTCCTGAATTAATCTGGAAATGGGGTAAAAAGGGACACTTGAAATAAAACTCAATTTTAAACATATGAAGCATGCAGAGTGTACTCATCTATTACTAACAGTACTCTGAAGTCCTCCTCTTCCTTTGTAGATGATGTAAATGTAGAATAAATGACATTTTCTGTGATTTTCACTTGTTTTTCCTTTATTGATATGATATTACCATATTCATTAATTACCGTATTATTAAAGTGATATTACTGTATCCATGGACATGCCATTGAGCATTGACAACAACCTTGTCCACTGCAAGCTTCATATCAGCAGCCATGTAGCATTTTTTCTGTATCTGTAAGCTCACAGGATGGTTTGTAATTTCACACAATTTTAGTCGAGTCAAGTGATTTCACTATAACAAAAAAGATCGTAAAAACATACCTGAAACAGAAAATAATGTTTTCGTGACAGCCATCATATGTTTTAAAGAAATAAATCATAGTTTAGGTCAATTACTTTTCATTCTATGATGCCCGGTGCACAATTCTATATATAGCATTCTATGTACAATTTTTTGACCACCGATGATGCACTAATTTTTTGATAAGGGAATTTTTTTCGCCAAGTGAGGTAAATGTAATCAAAATTCTTTGTTGTTAATCAATTTTTTTGTTAACTGGAGCCTTTGCTAACTGAGGTTCTACTGTAAATGTATTTTTAAGGGTGTCCCTAATTACCCCAGGGGGGTGTCCCTTTTTACCCCATCGCGCTGAAATGGCTGCCATTTTTTTGGAATGAGATAGGCAAAATCTGTCAATTACGTTTTCAAGCCGACACCTGGGTGCAACTTTTATGTAAGTAAAATTTTTTAATATGGCAAATAATTTTTTTGCTCCAGACCTTAGCAGAGGTACTTCTCCAAAATCGCACTTTTCACACTTTTTTTCAGCAAATTTTTAGAGATAGTAAATGTTTGATTTCTTGACTAGCTTTATACATAATATATAGTGAAAATGTTGAAGTTTACGCCACTATTTTTAGTTTTGCAATATTTTAATTAGTTTAGCTGCTACAACATTTCCACGAAATGTGGGACGCGCGTCCCTATTTACCCCACCCATCCCTTTTTACTCCGTTTGACGGTATATTTGGCTCAATATTCCAATACTTTTCTTAACAAAAAGATAATGGCTGATGCATAAAATGAGTACTGGCAAGTAGGTGACTTCGGCCGCCGGGGCTGACTTCAGCCACACTTACAACAGAAACAAATAGCAGCAAAACAAAATTATAAATGTTGGCCAAAGTGACTGGGGTGATTTTGGCAACCTGGGCTGACTTTGGCCAAAGTTTATTATTTTGTTTTGCAGCCATTTGTTTCTGTTGTAGGTGTGGCTGAAGTCACCCCATTAGACAGTAGCACAATATAATCATTGGCCAAACTACAGTTGGTGAAAGATTCTTGAAGGACAATAAAATGCTACTCTGATTAAACTTTCCTTCAAGTCAGCAGATGTTGGACTGATTATGAATGCCAGAGATTTTGAAAATACTTGTCTGTAGCCTTAGTTTGAGGCATGTTTTTTGCTGGCTTTATTTTTCTTATTGTCACTGCATTGTTATTATCATTAAGTCCACTTGGTTCATTTATTATATAATTTTCAAAATGTTTTGATGAAGTGAGTTTTAAGCAAATATGATTTAATGTTATGGTTAAATGTTAAATATGACCTGACAAGGCATGTGAGAATAACTGATTAGATGACGTCTAAAGTCTAAAAATTACAACAACACATTGCATATTGCTTAATAATCTGTAATATTAATATCAAACGGAATATTATTATCAGCCCACTGAATTATCATACTGAATTACTGATTTAAATTATTAATACTGTGATTGTAAAAATTATGATTTATATGATAATAAAAAGGCAAAAATAAATACCGGTACTTAATTTTAAAGCAAATAACTGCATGGAGCGAAAACTATAATGATGCGAAGTACCATGGTACGGATTATTATTGTAAAAAAAATTGCAGCTATATTTGCGCAACTGCTACATTAGTATTACATGAGACTGCACGTTCCAATAAAGTTTGTATCCTAAATTGTTGAAGTCAAAACATGCCCAATAGTTTCTGAGGGAACCGCAAGCACATAAATCTCTCTCTCGGCGCTGTCAAGTGCTCCTTCATAGCAGTGCCTTCTCTCCTTCCCGGACCGTGGGTGGCCAGCGGGCGGCCAGAGCAGGTTAGCTCCGGCCGCCCACTGGCAATTCACCGGCCACCTAAAGCCGCCCCTTGCCTAAAACAATATCCTTGAGGCATGGGGTGGGTTAGCCACAAATATGTGGCTGAAGTGCTAACGAGACCAAGGGCTGGTGACGGCCGAACTTACACGCGAGTGCAGATTTTACAAAGATCTGCTGGTCCCAGGGAACTCCGACTTCAGGGAACTCAATGTTACAAATTATAAATTAGTTAAAATTTATAATTATAATATAATAATTATATATTATAATATATTATTTATATAATATAATATAATGAAGGAATATAACCTTCAATGAAGGTTATTAGTAAGAAAACAACCAATTTGATAATAGAGTACAATTTCGTAGAAAATTTAGAAGTATGTCGCTCGCTGATTAAAAATGTAGAGGAGGGGGAGTGGAGGAGGGGAATGTGCAGCCAGACGCTAGAAGGCAGAGCCTGGCCGAGAAATTTTAACCGCGTGAGGCCGTTTGGGTTCGATACGGCGTTCAGCGACCACTCCACCTGACTCTTAAGTGTAAAAAACTCAATCGTTATTCCCGCTTAGCTTAATAATTGATTTGTTTTCTGCCTACATTTTGGTAGTACATTTAGGTTCTGCCCAACATGAAAGGAAATGAAAGTTCGTTCATCATTTTTCCTTATTGCTTTGCTTGAATTTCGTGCTCGCTATAACACGTATTGACCTTTAGTTATATTTTACAATGAAAAATTAAAAGCTGCCGTTGCACAGCTTCTTCTCAACGTGATCCAGCTGAGAAGAACGTATAACAGATGCCGTCCTGATCGACCGGATTGTTTAGTCAGTCGATATGTACTGCAGCTATAGGCTTCTATATTTACAGCTATAAGCTGTAAAAGTTGACACAATCTTTTTATTTTAGAACATGTTCATTGCAAAAATTTGTCAGCTACGATAAACGACTAGTGAATGTAATCAAGTAAGGCATTGCTGACCCGGGATTGGATTCTGAAATCTGAACCACACGCGATATCGGAACGGAAGTTCGGAACCACGGCAGTTCCTGATTAGCTCAGTGTATCAATTGTCACAGCATTGTAAGGTGTAACACGTGCTAGGCTTTTTGATCCATTTTCTTATATAAACGTGAAAGTATATTAACTATCCAGAATTCCACACTGCGTGGTGCGTGACTCCTTATATTACTCTTCCTTGTTTCCTATCATAGGCATGGTCGTAACCCAGTCATTGGTAACCCCTGTATACTATTATGTTACTAAAATTATAATTATTGTAGGTAACTCTCATGGAAACTAACTTGTTAGTTATTATGATGAAGTTCAATTATATACTTGCTGCTTTTTTTGAAGAAGTCCAGCATTTACCTGCAATTGTATTCCAGAATTCGAGAACTAACTCAGTAACTGTGAAGAATATAGTACATATCGATGTTAGACTGTTAGTATGTAATATGGCTTAAACTCAAAATAGCCTGTAAGTTACTCTATGCTTGATTCTGACCTTTGCTACTCTATTTTTTGCTACTCTATTTTTTAGATCTTGTTTTGTGGAAGCTTGGTTGTCAAAGTTTGATATAATGTGTGAAAAAATTTATTTGATAAGGACTAGTATACATCTTGAGATAAGAAAATAATGTTCTCTCATATTGAAATGTGTTGCCGTCCGGAAATAGGTATATTTGGCTCAATATTCCAATACTTTTCTTAACAAAAAGATAATAGCTGATGCATGAAATGAGTACCGTCAAGTGGATGACTTTGGCCACTGGAGGTGACTTCAGCCACACCTACAACAGAAACAAATGGCAGCAAAACAAAATAATAAACGTTGGCCAAAGTGACTGGGGTGATTTTGGCCATTAGGTTGACTTTGGCCAATGTTTATTATTTTGTTTTGCAGCCATTTGTTTCTGTTGTAGGTGTGGCCGAAGTCACCCCATTTGATGGTAGCACAATATTATCATTGGTCAAACTATAGTTTGTGAGAGATTCTTGAAGGACAATAAAATGCTACTCTGATAAAACTTTCTTTCAAGTCAGCAGATGTTGGACTGATTAAGAATGCCTGAGATTTTGAAAATAGTTGCCTGTAGCCTTATTTGGGGGCATGTTTTTTGCTGGCTTTATTTTTATTATTGTTACTGCATTATTATCATTAAGTTCATTTGATTCATTTATTACAAAATTTTCAAAATGTTTTAATGAAGTGAGTTTTAAGAAAATATGATTAAATGTTATGGTTAAATGTTAAATGGGTTGAATCTGACAAAGAATGTGAGAATAACTGATTAGATGACTTCAATTACTAGCATTTCTGAGGCAAACTAAACCAGTGGCTTAGTTTTGTTCAAGAATAATTTCTGATTCTAAATTCCTAAATTCTTGCAAAATTTAGGTAAGAATTGGATATTCTTGTCCAGCTGGGAAGGCTGGACATGATGATTTGACATGAATATCTAACTGTATGTCCCTATTTAATTCTGCCTCTATATATGACAAATATTTACTATGTATTGACTCTAGATTGACCATCTCTTTCATTTGCAGGACGCCGCTGCGTACATTGGCCACCCAGAAGCTCACCAGCTTCCATAGTGATCTCCAGCAGAACCTGGAAAATGGCACTTACCGTCTTAATGAAGCACCGACGGTGATCGACATAGAAAATAACAAAATTAATGTGAACAAGGATGGATTTAATTTAGATGTGGTCAAATATTTCGAGGGTCAGGAAAACTGGAACACGAAGGAAATTGTAAACCCGAAGCTGAAAGCCTCAAGTTTTGGGGACTATTACTGCGGGCTGTCTTTGATGCCCTCAAGTTATTTTGAGTCAAGGGAGAAATTTGATTATCTGTACTCGCTTCGATGGCAAGGTGATCCATCGTTTGATCCAAACGATCCAGTGGAGACCATTGAAAAAATTTCTTTGGAAAAGGCTCTTGAACTGCTCACAGTGACGCTGTCCTGCAATATGGAGTATTATTTGGCTAACCGGGATGAAATGGAGAAGGATTTAGGGCGCAAGCTGGATAGTTTCAATGCAGAAGATGAAAGTTCCATGAAGAGGTTAGAACGAGAGCTTTTCTACAACCAAGTCATCAAGATAGTCGGTGAGAGCGAGGATGATGACAAGGCAACCTTTTCAGTGATGCTCAAGGACTTCAGGGCTTTGTTCCTTGAAGGCAATGACAACTTCGCAACGGCAAGACGAGGCGATTATTACCTGCTTTTCCATCACGCCACCTCATAGGAAGGTTATAGGTTTTGGAACTAATCAAGTGACGATTGGAGCTGTGCTGCTGAGAGAGCTGGGCGCTAAAATAATGGTCCCAAAATTGACTATTTGAATTTTATAACAATGACCATGTAGTATCTCTTGTATGTGTAATGTAAAGCTTATTTTATGTTATTTAATGTCATTCTGGGGTAAGTTGACCGATCAAACTTTATTGGAAATTTTTTACACATTCATGAAGCTTTCAATATTTTTTAATGAAAATATTTCTATGAAATAATTTCCTATGATCTCAAACTTCCTGCGTCACAAAGCCAAGTAGCAGAAGCAAATATTATGTGTCCAGCAGCTCTACTTTCTGTAAGTCAGCCCAATTTTGTTTGTATTCTTAATTTAAATATTAGAAGCTATACTCCATGTAGCTTCAAAATATCAATAATATGTTTACCTAAAAGTTAATCTTTCTGAATTTTTATTCACCTTGTATACGCTTCCTCTTCTATGCAGGGCAATTATGTACGTTTACAATTATTGTGCACCTATATTGGTTCTCGATGCTCCAGGTAATTATAATCATAATTTAGATTCCTGCCTACATCATGAAATGTTTGTTGATGACTAAACTTAATTTGCCTTGAAGGTTTTTATTACAATAATAAAATAACTAATATTCAGGAATTAAAAGGAGAATTTGTAGGATCCCTCCAGTCGAAACACTAATCTAGTCTGCGTGATTCATGTGTTGTAGTAATTAATATTATCTAATATTTTGTGTAAATTGCGATCGGTTGCAACAAAACCTGGAGCTGAATAATATTTTCTCGGGTTTTCCGACGCGCTCATATTTGGATGAACTCTTCATAACATACGTACAAGGACGAGGTATTGAAATCACTACAGGCCGTAGGTCTGTCGCCTATAAGAAATTTACTACACTTTATTCAAGATATGCCGATAATGCATAATTTTGAGTTCATATCTCTTGTTTTTTTAATGAAATCACTACGGCCGCTAAACCGTGTTTCTGTTTGACGTGTTAATATTAGTTCGTATAGTAAGGCCAACTTTGCAATCAGAATTAGAGAAGTCATTGTTATGTGTCAAGCAAGAGCCGCTAATAGAATTCATAATGGGTTTAAAGTCCTCATTAGCAAAAGTGACATAAGCTTTTATTATAACCTTATTCGTGTGCTCCATGTATGCCGACGACACAAAAGTTTATANTGCCGCCGCCGGTGCCTAGAAAACAAGGTTGGCCGGAATGGCTCATAGGCTTTTAACCTTGAAGAATAACCTGCTGATGCCTACAACTCAGTGCCAGCGCCACAATCAGGTAATATATTGAAATCAGTGATGTATTATGTAACAATTTGTCAAGTTTTGTTTTTCCAGGATTCAGTCCTTCAGACAGATTGAGAATTGAGATGATAAGTGAGCCAGCCTTCTGGACCTTTCAGCTTCAACATAACAGAAAAGTGGGGATGTTATTAAAGTTTATACTATTCATTTATTTGTAAAATAGTGTTTAAAATAAAAAAATGTATTCCGCAGCCAGATCATGGTGCAATTCTATAGGTTATTCAAAAGAACCTGGTCTTGTGTCATTTTGAACCGATCGACACTTCTTTACGGACCGAGGAGTGAGGATCAATCATGTAACACAACCTTACCCGGCAAAAGCTTTCTTGCTTCTGAAGAAAGGGGCAGTTCGTCAGCTGAGTGATACTGGCCGTGGGCGGGCCTTATTTGAATTTGAACACATGCATCCATTTGAAATCCTAGACCCATAGGGCCATAGTTATAGTAGGTATACAAGTCAAAGAGCCTAAATTTTTAATATCTATATAAAAAATGTACGTTTCTGCATCGATTATAATGCTGTTAACATCAACAAACTTTGAAGTATCTCTAATGCAAGAAATACTTGCTTAAACAATTTTATTTTCATTATAAGCGACTGGATGCAAAAATCGGTCGCAAGAACCAACATAGCCCAGAACAACAGTAATTTTGATCGATGTTAATTTCTAAATTAAAATGTATTTAGCCAGTATTTCTTGCATCAGAGATACTTCCAAGTATTTCAATGCTAACAGCATCAAAATTCACGCAGAAACGTAAACTTTTAATAGGTTTTACACTGTAATTTACGCTCCTAGTCCAAAGAACTGAGACCGATTTCAAATAAAAAATTACTAAATTGAATCCATTGCGCTTTCTGGCACCTTCTCTCACAGCCATGGTGCAGAGGGTGGATGCAGTGTCGCCAATATATGGGTTTTTAAGCCCTAAGCGTCGCCGGGTAATTTTAAGATGAGTCGCCAGGTAATTTTTAATGAAAAGCCATTTACGCTGAGTAATGAAAAACTATTTACAAGCCATGAACTTATTTAAAAGGTTGCATGCACGTGTTACTCCAAATAACTAATTTTACCTTAAAAACAGTCTGATTGTACAGCAAGTGTCAACTGAACATGTGATAATGCAGTCTGACCACTCTAATGTGACCACAACTACGTAATTGTTAACTTGATGTTTACATTTTTTTGGTGGGAACTCATTGCAACTGATTCCGGACAAGCTTCACTGCATACTGATCAATCCAACATACCAGAAAGTGCGGAAACCTTACTTTTTTTAAATACTTGGCCAAAGACTAATAAATATATTAAATGAAAGAATTTCAATCTAAATGTGTCGGCAAGATCTTCTGAAGGCATAAATTTTGCTACTGAAGCGTCGCCAGAGATCTTGCAATATTCATCCACTCTCTGCACGAAAAAGAGCTTGAACCGTTGTCGAAAGAGGACGTTCCTGTGAACCTCTCTGTTTTTCTTATCATTGTGATTTGTGAAAGTGCTAAACGATCCCTCAATGACTAATACATCTGAGGGTCAAGATCTTATTGATCCTGGTGCTTCACCAAACGCATCAGAGTCTTAAGTAACTAAGGAATTTCCCAGTTCAAATATTTATTGATTTATTACTATCAATTTCGAAACTCCACATATTTCTAAAGGGAGTTGTGATGAGACCATGGGGTCGAACTGTTGAGTTTAGACCATTACAACTTGCAAGAGGGGCCCAAGGGACAAGGGCATGGGGCCTTGTGAAGGGTTAAGACCGCCGCATGGCGGTGGACTGATAAGTACTCACAATAATTCCCTGCCACCATGCGCCGCCTCACTCCTAAATTCCATATGAAGATGGGCCTGGTCTCAATTCTCAAAACGTCTCATGGTCATAGATAAGGCATTTAGAATGCCACCATGGCCAACTCTACTTCATATATTACTTTTGAAGTTTTTATTTATGTAGGCCAGTATTTTGATAAAAAATTCAACATTGAAAAACTGTGTTTAATAATTTGAGAAAAAGTTGTTCTGTTTCAATGAAATCAATGCCACACAACATAATTACTAGGAAGTTCAAACTTCAAAGAGACATTTGAAAAATTGAATTAGCTACACTGATAAGATGAATTAGTTAATTAACCATAATTGAAGACAATGATATGGAGAGCAAAGTGAAATATAATAGGGATCCAAATGATATACCGTATACTAAGGAGCCAAATGACCTACATACACACACAACAAAAGCAATGCACACATCTCAATGATCTCAGTGTCTCGTTGATTGGTCCGGACTCTGGTTGGCAGTTAATATATATACTTGATGGAATTTCAGTCGGCAGTTGCCAAGTGAGTGAGAGCTCATTTTTATTACTGAAGATGTGGAGCAGTGGATATTTTTTTATATTAAAAACATTCTATCTTTTATGTTGAAAATAACAAGGTTTTTTTCTTACAAATCTTATAATGATCTCTTTCTTATACCTTAATACTTGAGATTAACCATTTTATCATTTTGAAGACTCCAGTCACTACAAAAGTTTAGTTTTCACAAGCATATTCATTCTTGAAATATTTCTGAAATAATTGGGAAGTTTTTATTCCCATATATAATAGGGATTCATAAATTACGGTACTGAATCCATTTATTGTGATTTAATTCATATGGTAATCAATAGACGCCAATGGAATTGTTCTATCAATGATTTATTAATGTCACAGCAACAAATATTGACATTAAAATCAAGAATACCTCTTGTCTTGTTTACTTGTCTAGGTGCTATTACTATAAATGTGAAACATTGTTGAATGATGTTCTTGATATTCATAACAGATTGATAATATTTGCATCATATTTATGAAATTTATTGCATCATATTTATGAAATTTATTAATGTTATTTACCATAAAATTATTAATTTTAAATACTTAGGTGTGTTTTTAAATTAAAATTTTGAAAACATCACTGCAAGAACATTTTAATAATGCCTAAATTATAATAACATCTAATTTTAATTAATGTTACATGCCTGAGTTCTCAAAGTCCTGCCTCTCTCAATTATCAAAATAAAGTAATTATCACTTCTATAAAATGAACATTTTCTATAATACAAGTTTTGTATTATGGTTTAAAGTTTAAACCAATTTAGAACATTTTTCAGTATTAGGATTTTCTTGTTATTGATATCATAGCCATCTTCAATGGCACATCAGCAACATCTTCATACTTGCATACTTACCAAGTTGCCATTTATCAAATAGGTACTACTATGTATACTGATTACTAGACTTATCTTTCAGTTATTAGTGAAACTGTATTGAAAAGAAGCCAATCTGAAATATTGGCTATAATTTTCATTGAATTAAAGAAATTCATTTCATTATTTATTTATTAACAAATTTATTTATTTATATACCAATGCATTTATTTATTTAATATCATTCATTCTGTATTCAGTTGAACATGTCAACTTCTATATTGCAGGTGCTGCATCAATGCATTTATTTATTAACAAACTTATTTATTTATATACCAATGCATTTATTTACCATCAACCGGGGCTACTCAGGACAATTTTGAACGTTTTCCATTAATAACTTCTTACCATGAAACATTTCATAAACAAGTTTAGCCTCATTTCAAAGCTCTTTACAAGGGCTATCACATGGCTTCTTCAAAAAAATTCCATATGCTATTCGTAAGGAGCCAGAAGCAAAAAAAGAGTGTCCCGAGTTGCCCTGTCGAACGGGGCTACTCTGGACACTTGGAATAAAACTTCATTTTAAAACATTTGAAGCATGCAGAGTGTACTGTATGTAAATTACGCAAATTAAGTTTTCATGCTGACACTTGTCTGCCACATTTTTCTAAGCGAAATTTTTTAATATGGCAAATATTTTTTTTACTACAGACCTTAGCAGAAGTAAATTTTCTAAATATCGTTTTTCACCATTTTTTTAGGAATTTTTCAAAGCTAGTAAATGTAGTACCGGTACCTATTTTTTAACTTCCTTTATACTACATAGATAGGAAAAATGTTGACCTTTACACCACTATATTTAGTTTTGCAATATTCCAATTAGTTTTGCTACTAAAACAGTTCTACGCCGTGTCTGAGGACTGTCCCGAGTTACTCCGCCCGTCCCAAGTAGCCCAGGTTGACGGTATTTAATATCATTCATTCTGTACTCTGTTGAACATGTCAACTTCTATATTGCAGGTGCTGCACCAATACATTTATTTATTAACAAATTTATTTATTTATAGGTATACCAATGCATTCATTTATTAAAAAAAATTATTTATTTATATAGCAATGCATTTATTTATTTAATGTCATTCATTCTGTACTTGTTTGAACATGTCAACTTTAATATTGCAGGTGCTGCACCAATACATTTATTTATTTAATATCATTCATTCTGTACTCCATTAAACATGTAAACATTTTTATATTGCAGGTGCTGCAGCAATGCATGCGGCTGAGCAGCTCTGCGTGCGCCAGGCAGCCTGCAGGCCCAAGAAATTCTTCTGACGCTCGTCAAAACTTTGAAGAACCAGTCTTTGATTCTCATTTAATTCATGGATCTTATAATACAGCATTTAATACTCCCCTTAATTATAATACACAATCATCACACATATTTAATAATGGATTCATGAAGAAGCTATTAAGAAGTTTATCTTTTTCCGAGGTCGTGCAAGCTTCACATAAAGCTCGGAATATCCTTGCCAGCCGTGAAGTCCTCCCGAGCGTTGAAGGACTCTGGCAGGACTTAAAATTTAGTGAAAAACCTCCTAAAGGATTTGAAAAATATTTCAGAAGAGATGCTGGTGCAAATGAGGTAATGTTTTGCTTTTATTTACTACATTTCCTGTGAANTTTAAAATTTACTGAAAAACCTCCTAAAGGATTTGAAAAATATTTCAGAAGAGATGCTGGTGCAAATGAGGTAATGTTTTGCTTTTTATTTACTACAATTTCTGGTGAATATTCATGTTTGTATTTAGCTAATTGTTTTCATAATTATTTTTCAATAATATAATATAATAATTAATATTAATACCTACTTATTATCTAAAATGAGAGAACAAATGGAATTTTTTGCCATGCAGCCTAGTAGGTACTTGTATTGATTGTTTTTTTATTAAATATTTTGATTGTAATGTATCATAAGGTAATTAGGTTAATTAATTATTAATTATTATTTCAGTTAATTAATTCGATATTAAGACTATGTCGTGCTCTGGTAGACAGTTTACTATCAGCTAAGTATTTATAATTGTAAAATTGTAGGTATACTGAGAACAAATAGAATTTTTTGCCATGCAGCCTAGTACTTGTATTGATTGTTTTTTTATTAAATATTTTGATTGTATTGTATATAAGTTAATTAAGATAATTAATTATTATTTCAGTTAATTAATTTGATATTCGGACTAGGTCGTGCTCTGGTAGACAGTTTACTATCAGGAGAATATACAAATAATTACCTATTAAATATTTAGGTATATATAATTGTAAAATTGTAGGTATATAAATTTATTTTGTTTTCTTAAATACAGCAATCCCTTGATTAGCACGGTTTTGAATACCGCGGTTTTGATTAACGCGGAAAAAAAAATTGCAACCTACCCTTAATCTACGCGGTGCTGCTCACTTTTATCAAACTACATAATTTTCCTTTCCTTTGCTATTTTTGAGGATTCATTATAATTATTTTATATATTCTTAAGTTTGATTAGTGCGGTTTTGCTTAACACGGTAAAACTCGGGGATTTATTAACTGCGTTAATCAAAGGATTGCTGTATGTAATTTTATAACATGTGCATAAAATATCATTTCTTAGCACAACTAATTATGTTATTTATGTAGGTATTGAGAACCCAATGTAAGAAATATATGCACTTCAATTTTTAAATTAGTTAATAAATTCTAGAACCTACTGGTATGGTAATCTTGAAATCATAGTTGAAAATTATAGTGAATTTTAAATGTAAAGTTAATAAAAAGTAGAGTTGAAGTTATCTGAACATTAATATAATTATAAATCCTAAATATTCATTTGAATAATTTCAAGCGAGAGAAAAATTTGATGCAAAATACAAAACATCCTGGAAATTAGGTGTGGCAAAAATTTAAAGTGAGGAAAATTTTGGAAAATTATTTATAATTAACAGGATTTATTATAATAATTTTCAACAATACATAAGTTTTAATTATAGCCTGCAGCTTCCAAAGAAGACGGCAGCGTTCCACCCAAGGCAGCAGCTGAGGCACAAAAAAAGATTCCATCTGAGAAACCTCTGGACTTCAACTTCTTCTACAAGTGAGCTAAGTTCTGCTACAAGTGAGCTAAGTTCTGCTACAAGTGAGCTAAGTTCTGCTACAAGTGAGCTAAGTTCTGCTACAAGTGAGCTAAGTTCTGCTACAAGTGAGCTAAGTTCTGCTACAAGTGAGCTAAGTCTGTCTCTTATACACATCTAGATGTGTATAAGAGACAGGTACTACCACCTCGCGTACAAGGAGATCACGTGGAAGGAGTTCACCAAGAAGTAAAGCTTCTTTTAACTTTATGATCATTTTGATTACCGGTATTAACATTATTCTAATAAGATTATGATAATTTTAATTATTAACATTATTTTAATTAATAAGCAAGCAATATAATCAGTGAAAATATAAATTTGCAGTATATGTGTCTGGTAGGACGTCACCAAGAATTAAAGCTTCTCTAATTATAATTTTTCATCATTCATTAAAAATACGATAAACTTTCAATATAATTTAGACTAATGTTGCTATATATATCATACATTTCTTATTTACTATATTCATATAGTGCTGTCTATGTGCTGTCTTTATTAGCATAACATGTATTTATGTATTTACTCTTTACTGGTCCTGTGGATAGATTTTATTTAAAATATCATTATCCGTGAGCAGACAGATAGAGATGGTCTGTACATTATACACTATTTATATGCATATATATAATTATTTATTCTGGATATTATTTATTAAAAAATCATTATCCATGAGCAGTTACCTGAACAAAGGGCTGGTTGAGAAGCTGGAGGTGGTGGACAAGAAGTGGGTCCGCGTCAAGCTCCTGCCGGGGAACTCTGCTGAGGGCGCCGTGAGTTCACATGTAGGGACCCGCATGCCACATACCTTGTGCGACACGTAACCTACGTTACGTACCTTGTATGTCCATAACCTTTGACATCCTGACCTACGTTACGTACCTTGTATGTCCATAACCTTCAACATCCTGACCTACGTTATGCACCTTGTATGTCCATAACCTTCAACATCCTTACCTACGTTACGCACCTTGTATGTCCATAACCTTCAACATCCTGACCTACGTTACGCACCTTGTATGTCCCTAACCTTCAACATCCTGACCTACTTATGTTACGTAACTTGTATGTCCATAACCTTCAACATCCTGACCTACGTACGTTACGTACCTTGTATGTCCATAACCTTCAACATCCTGACCTACGTTACGTACCTTTATTTATTTTGATTTTTATTTTGTTTATCTTATTTATTTTGATTGTTTTCATTATGTAGTAATAATTTTTTCTTGCCAGTAATTTGTAATTTGCTTTTTATTTATGCCATGAATTTTAGTGAAATCATTAATTTTGGTACCATTTTCACTTATATGCCTCACTATATCTACCTATAGTTGCCATTCCTCTTATATAGCCGGTATATACTATATATTATTTAATGTGACAATTTACATTAAAAGGTTTAATTATTTATTCATAAGGGCCAGCCTTAAATCAAAGTTGAAGGTTACTTTGAGGAAGTTTGCTTTGATTGGCCGTTGATGAAGTAAAGTAAAAATTAATTAATTTGAAGAGGCTTTTGATGAAGTTACCTTAAATTTAATTAATTTAAAGAAGCTTTTGACGAAGTTAACTTAAATGTAATTAAATAAATAAAATTATATTAAGGAGCCTGTTTTCTGAAGTATTCGTAACATTGCAGGGACGTGGCTGGCTGCGAGGAGGCCAAGATCGAAATCCTGGAATTCGTGAATTTCCTGAAAAATCTTACCTTGTATGTCCATAACCTTCAACATCCTGACCTACGTTACATACCTTGTATGTCCATAACCTTCAACATCCTGACCTACGTTATGTACCTTGTATGTCCATAACCTTCAACATCCTGACCTACGTTACGTACCTTGTATGTCCATAACCTTCAACATCCTGGTCTATCATAGCATATCCATGTCTAGCCTGTCATATCCATGTCTAATGTTAGATATCCATGTATTATCCTGTGTATTTATCAATTCCTATGTTGAAATACATGTACAAACGTAGCCTCCAGCAGGTCCAGCGTGGGCAGCATAGACAACTTATTTGTCTAGCCATGTTTAGTAAAGGCTGCCCACTCCCCATACCTCCCCACCATACCTCCCCACCATACCTCTTATACCTCCCCATGCCCTGCGCAGGCGACCCTGTGGTTCAGCGTAGGCAGCGTGGACAGCTTCGAGCGTAACCTGGAGGCGGCGCAGCAGGAGCTGGGGGTGGAGCCGCAGGACATGCTCGCGGTCGTCTACAAGAACGAGTTCGAGCCCGCCAGTCTGCTCGGCTTCCTGCCTACCTTGCTTATTATAGGTAGGTGACATACTACATGTAGGTGACATATAGGTAGGTGACATACTATATGTAGGTGACATATATGTAGGTGACATACTATATGTAGGTGACATATAGGTAGGTGACATACTGTAGGTAGGTGACATACTATTTGTAGCTGACATATAGGTAGGTAATATTACCCTGTATAACAATACAAATGATGTATAACAATACAAATGATGTATAACAATACAAATGATGTGTGCAGGCTTCCTGGTCTACATGATGTATAACAATACAAATGATGTGTGCAGGCTTCCTGGTCTACATGATGTATAACAATACAAATGATGTGTACAGGCTTCCTGGTCTACATGATGTATAACAATACAAATGATGTGTACAGGCTTCCTGGTCTACATGATGTGTAACAATACAAATGATGTATAACAATACAAATGATGTATAAAGGCTTCCTGGTCTACATGATGTATAACAATACAAATGATGTGTACAGGCTNCATCATCATGACAATGCATGGTCCACCATCATGACAATCTGTCTCTTATACACATCTAGATGTGTATAAGAGACAGACTTACAGGTGGGGGGACCTGGGGGCCAAGATCCCCAAGGGGGCCATACTTACAGATGGGGGGCAGAAAGAAGGAGATGTACTCACCCTGTATGTTTGGACCCACATGACTGCGTATGTGCGCCCCCAAGGGCTCCGCATGTTTTACGCTACGTGACTCCGAATGTATGGCCCTTCATGACTTCGTATGTTTGGCCCCACATTATTATGTATGCTTTCTTCCACCTGACACTGAATGTTGGCCCACTGAACCTAAATGTTTGGCCCACTGACCTCAGGTGTTTGGCCCACTGACCTCAGATTTTGGGCCCCAATAAACCTGTATGTTGGCCCCACAGGGCCCCCCGGGACGGGCAAGACGCTCCTGGCGAAGGCGACGGCGGGGGAGGCGGACGTGCCCTTCATCTACGCCTCAGGCTCAGAGTTCCTCGAGATGTTCGTGGGCGTGGGGCCCTCCAGGGTGAGTAAGGTCATTTAGGATAAGTGGGGCTCTAGAGTATGTGGGCGATGCAGGGTAAATGGGGCCCACCTAAATGCTCGGAAGGCTAGAACTGCACTTCTGCTTAGGAAGGAAGTATTTATCCTTTTCTAAGTACATTATAACTACCCAGGAGAACCTGGTCAAAACCGTCTGGCGTTGTAGCAGGTTCTGCACTCAGACTTTTTTTACTGACGAGCTTCTCTTTGACGCGGGGCGTGTTGACCCCCATGTAAAGAGCCCTCTATAACCTCCCTAGTTAAGACCCTTCCTCCGAGGCCCTCCCCTCCTCCCTCTCCCGTAACTCCAGTTTAGAGCCCATTCATGTCCCTCCTTCAAGTACAGGACTAATTCACCCCCTGTTTATTAATTTAGGGCCTATCTAATACATGTCCCTCCAGGCGCGGGACTATTTAGGGCCCATTTAACACATGCACCTCCTATTTAGGGCCCATTTAACACATGTCCCTCCTATTTAGGGCCCTTCTAACACATGTCCCTCCCCCAGGTGCGGGACTATTTAGGCCCCATCTAACACATGCACCTCCTATTTAGGGCCCATTTAACACATGTCCCTCCTATTTAGGGCCCTTCTAACACATGTCCCTCCCCAGGTGCGGGACTATTTAGGCCCCATCTAACACATGCACCTCCTATTTAGGGCCCAATTAACACATGTCCCTCCTATTACGGCCCATCTAACACATGTCCCTCCCCAGGTGCGGGACATGTTCGCGATGGCCCGCAAGCACGCCCCCTGCATCTTGTTCCTGGACGAGATCGACGCCGTGGGGCGCAAGCGCGGCGGCAAGAGCTTCGGGGGGCACAGCGAGCAGGAGAACACCTTGAACCAGCTCCTGGTGGAGATGGACGGTGAGAGAGAACAGGGAGAACACCTTGAACCAGCTCCTGGTGGAGATGGACGGTGAGAACAGGGAGAACACCTTGAACCAGCTCCTGGTGGAGATGGACGGTGAAGTTTCAACGTTGAAACTTTTCATTTACATTTCAGCATTGAATATTCAGCGTTGAAGTTTCAGAGTTAAGGTTTTTGCTGGAAGTTTCAACGCTGAAATTTTGCCGTCGTTGAACCCATGGTTAAATATTCTTAAAAATGTTGAACTCAAGGTTAAATAATGTTTTCAATTTTGAACCCATGGTTAAATAACGTTGATAATATTGAACGAGTGTTGAACTAAGGTATAAATACCGTGCAGGATTCAACACGTCGAGCAACGTGGTGTGACCTATGATGAACCCATGGTTAAATAACGTTAAAAATGTTGAACCCATGGTTAAATAACGTTGAAAATGTTTAATTCGTGTTGAACTAAGGTATAAATGCCGTGCAGGATTCAACACATCCAGCAACGTGGTGGTGCTGGCGGCCACCAACCGCCTGGACATCCTGGACAAGGCGCTGCTGCGCCCCGGCCGCTTCGACCGCCAGATCTACGTGCCCCCGCCTGACATTAAGGGGCGCGCCTCTATATTTAAGGTATCTTTATATCTTATTATTATATTTAAATAAGATCTACGTGCCCCCGCCTGACATTAAGGGGCGCGCCTCTATATTTAAGGTATCTTTGTTTATTATTATTATCCTTTAACAATATTATGGTAAATGCTGCAGCATTATTTAATTTATATCTCATAAAATTATAATATAATGTTATTGTAAATAATATGTCTGGAGATAAGCCTTTCATCTACGCCTACAAGGCCTTGCTCTGTAGGCAAGGCCTTCATTTGTTTTTTTAATCCTAAAATAATTTTACGAGAAATAGTGCAGCATTATTACATATGTACCTATATACCTAGATAATGAAATTATGTAGGATATAATTCTATATATATTCCATCATATTCACTGATTCATCATCACAATCATGATTGCAGGTTCACTTGACGCCGCTGCGCACTGATCTGGACAAGGCGGAGCTGGCAAGGAAAATGGCAGCGCTTACCCCAGGGTTTACGGGTAATTCTGGGGCAGTCGGGGTAATTTTGTGGCAGTCAGGGTAATTTTTGGGCAGTCAGGGTAATTTTCGTGCTTTTAAGGTAATTTTTGAGCAGTCGGGATAATTTGTGGGCATTTGGGGTATTTTTGGGGTCTTTTGTGGAAATTTTTGGGCAGGCAGGGTAATTTTTGTGCTTTTAAGTTAATTTTTTAGCAGTTGGGGTAATTGGTGCTAGACATTGGATGGATATTTTTTGCGGGTAATTTATGAGCAGGCAAGGAAAGTTGTGCTGAAAGTTTTATGTAATCATTCATAAGTGATAGCTTTATTTTATGATTATCATCATCATGAAGCCTCAGCAGTTATAGGCTCTGAAGTACCTAACTAAAATGTATAAGTTATTATTCATCATGGTTTACAAATGATTAGGTTCACGCTGACCCACTTCTCAAGGTGGGTCAACCAACGTAGCTCACCATGAGGCGGGCCATGCCGTGTGTGGCTGGTTCCTTGAGCACGCTGACCCACTTCTCAAGGTGGGTCAACTTGCGCTGACCCACTTCTCAAGGTGGGTCAATCACCGTAGCCCACCACGAGGCGGGCCATGCCGTGTGTGGCCGGTTCCTTGAGCACGCTGACCCACTTCTCAAAGTGGGTCAACCACCGTAGCCCACCACGAGGCGGGCCATGCTGTGTGTGGCTGGTTCCTCGAGCACGCTGACCCACTTCTCAAGGTGGGTCAATCACCGTAGCCCACCACGAGGCGGGCCATGCCGTGTGTGGCTGGTTCCTTGAGCACGCTGACCCACTTCTCAAGGTGGGGCAACCTGTGCTGACCTACTTCTCAAGGTGGGTCAACCGCTGACCTACTTATGATGATAACCCTCTTTTGAAGGTGGGTGGACCAAACACCCATGCATCGAGATGGGGACTTCTGGAAATTGGTCCGCTGAACCACTTGCGACGTGGGTCCTGAGGTTAAAATTGGGTCTCTTGTCCATCTAAGTAAGAGGGTTCTGGGGATACTATTGGGTCCCGACCCTCCTGTAGGTGAACAGTTCCTGTCACTGACGCTGCCCCTGTCAACAGGTGTCCATCATCCCGCGGGGCAAAGGGCTGGGGTACGCGCAGTACCTGCCCAAGGAACAGTTCCTGTTCACGCAGGAGCAGCTCTTCGACCGCATGTGCGTCATGCTCGGAGGGCGCGCCGCCGAGCGCATCTTCTTCGACAAGATCACCACGGGCGCCCAGGACGACCTCCAGAAAGTCACCAGCATGGCTTATGCCCAGGCGAGTATGGCTTATAGGGATTGCTTATGCCCAGGCACAATATCATCTTTATAACTTTCTGCATGCTTTTTTACTAGGTTCTTCATACAAGTCAAGTTTACGTACTTTTTCTACTTGAAACTGAATGTTTTCCCCCTATGGCCACCATCTAATTAATACCTGGTGCAATACAGTATATGGCAGGACTGGTATAACACATGGATTTAACAGCTGGTATAGCTCATGAATATAAGAGGTGGTATTAAGTAAGAGGTATTACAGCTGGTATATCTAATGCATATAACAGCTGGTATTAAGTAAGAGATATAACAGCTGGTCTAACACATGCATTTAACAGGTGGTATATGTAATGCATATAAGAGGTGGTATTAAGTGACGTATATAAGAGCTTATATTAACACACAGGTGGTGCAGTACGGCATGAACGCGCGTATAGGGCAGCGCGTGTACCAGCTGCCGGAGCCCGGGGAGATGGTCATGGAGAAGCCCTACAGCTCCAGGCAAGTATGGCTTATGCCCAGGCAAGTATGGCTTGCAGGTATGGCTTATGCCCAGGCAAGTTGTAAGGCTTATGCCCAGACAAGTATGGCTTATGGGTATGGCTTATGCCCAGGCAAGTATGGCTAATGCCCAGGCATAATATTTTTATGACTTCCTGCGTGCTTTTTTACGAGATTATTTACAGAAGTCGAGTGCTTCTACATTGAACTGAATGTTGACTCCCTATTGCACCATCTAACACCTGGTACCGACCAACAGGTGGTGCAATATATGGCATGACTGATATATAACACATGCATATAACAGCTGGTATAGTTCATGAATATAAGAAGTGCTATTAAATAAGAGATATAAGAGCTGGTATATCTAATGCATATAAGAGGTGGTATTAAGCAACAGACATAACAGCTGGTATTTATAAACAGGTGGTGCAGTACGGCATGACTGGTATAACACATGCATATAACAGCTGGAATAGCTCATGAATATAAGAGGTGGTATTAAGTGATGTATATAAGAGCTTATATTAACGCACAGGTGGTGCAGTACGGCATGAACGCGCGTATAGGGCAGCGCGTGTACCAGCTGCCGGAGCCCGGGGAGATGGTCATGGAGAAGCCCTACAGCGAGGAGACCGCGGCCGCCATAGACCAGGAGGTCAAACAGCTTATTGATCAGGCTTATAGTGCCACCATCAGCCTGCTCACTGACAAGAAGGAGTGTGTCAAGAAGGTGGGTCAAGGAGTGTGTCAAGCTGCTTATTGATCAGGCTTATAGTGCCACCATCAAGCTGCTCACTGACAAGAAGGAGTGTGTCAAGAAGGTGGGTCAAGGAGTGTGTCAAGAAGGTGGGTCAAGCTGCTTATTGATCAGGCTTATAGTGCCACCATCACCCTGCTTACTGACAAGAAGGAGTGTGTCAAGAAGGTGGGTCAAGTGTGTCAAGAAGGTGGGTCAAACTGCTTATTGATCAGGCTTATAGTGCCACCATCAAGCTGCTTACTGACAAGCAGGAGTGTGTCAAGAAGGTGGGTCAAGTGTGTCAAGAAGGTGGGTCAAGGAGTTTGTCAAGAAGGTGGGTCGTGCAGGAGTTTGTCAAGAAGGTGGGTAAATGTGTATATTCGAAGAAAGAAATTATACATTGTCTAGGGCCTATACTTTCAACGAAAAGTTAAGAGATCGTAAGTCAGCCAATCATTGACGGCCTTTCAAGCAAAATCCACCAATCATAGACAAGAAAATAGAGCGTAAGTATTTACGTTAACTTAGCGGATTATAAAAATGAAGGGCCTCTTATCCCTATGCATTTTCTGTCCTAGTGCATGCTATCCTGACCCAGTTTGACCCTTCACAAGTTCGTATCAGTGCTACGTCCGCTCACACTTCCCGTGCTGCGGGTAAGAAAGCGTGTCACTATTTGGGACTGTGAACGAGGAACATCGTTCACTAATTTATTCAATGAGCATTTTCTTGTGACGAAATTATTCTATTACGTATGGCGAAGCCGCGCCAGTGACATGCGAGTCAGACCTACAGCAGTTGGAACTGTCTAGTACCAGGTCAGGTCTGAGCGTCTGTGCGCCAGGTAGTTAGTCGTGTCCTGCCAGCCCTATAGTGAGGTTCATAACTGAACCCTCAGCTCTGTTAACTGTCGGCATTCTGTGCTTAACGCTGGAGTTGTGGCTGTGCCGTGAGGACTTAGTCTTGCCTGCTAATCGTTCGCCTATGCGAATTACGGTAACCTGAACTACGTGCATTAATGCTGTGCAATAGGGAATAGAATTGAACGTTTCTCATAAGTTATTTTAGTCGGAATTTATGCTTGCCCTTTACCATGTTTTACTGATTTTAAACAAAGTGATTGAATAAACTATTTTAAGTGCTTTGTCGTGATTATATACCACAGCCACTGAACCGGCTTTAACTGACGATGACTAGGAGAGTTGAACGGCATTGTAGGTTAGATGAATGAGCACAGTTGCCTGAAATTTATTCATATTGTCCTGGCCAATGAGCGGTGAGCATTCTCGTGCAAGCCTAGTTTTAGAGAGAATCAGGGGGGCTTGAGGGTTAGGACCAGAGGGGGCTGGGGGTGGTATCTAGAGAAGGGGGGATTATGGAAGCGACCTGGGAACTCTGGGGTGGATTAAGCGGGCCTTCATTTACTATTCACCCCGGATGGCTTGGGGGTATCTTGGGGGATCGATGGGGCTCGAGAGCTTGAGAGGGGGTCAGGGGGGCTTAAGGGAAATATTAGTGTCCCCCTAAAGCCTAGTTTCTGGGATCATTAGTGCATATTTAGGCACAGTTCCTGTTTGGAAATCAGTGGGGTTTGGGGCTCAAGGGAGGCATGGAGGATGAAGGGGTTGGGGGTCCACAGACCTAGTTACTGTGAGGGGTCAAAGGGGTTAGTCCTCTCAGATTGTCTGTAAACTATCTTCTGTAACGATAAATTATTTGATCGAAACACGGCAGTCGTTCGTAGCGAATATCCTTGATTTCCATTTAAAATCGATTGAGAAATATTTATATGCTGGCGATATGGAGGAAATTCTCTGCTTCTTTAGGATCAATGGAGGATTTTCTAAGGACATGTGTCGTCCCTACACTCAAAGATATAAGTGACAATTTCTCCAAATATTGACACACTTTTTTCTCTTGTGAGTCATCCTGATTCAGTTACGCTCAGGCGTATCAGTGCTACGTCCGCTCTCGTCTCGTACTGTGGGTAAGAAAGTGTGTCATTATTTGGGCATTATGACTCATTGATTTTCCTGAGTGATAGTTTGTGCGATGTTTTCGAAGGTTGTGTTCGTTTTTTAGGGAAAACTTTTGATTATTGATATCACTCTATTTGGCCTGCAAATATTTATATTAATTATATTTTGCTTTAGTTCAAAATTTTGTCGAAATTTTACGTATATTCCATACTTGATACTGAATAATTTTTTTATTTTTTTATAGTTTATTTTGATATAATGAGATGGAATTTTTTTCAGATGATATGTTTTTTTTTATGATGGGTTCGTATGCAGAAATCGATTATTTCGTCCCAGTATTACAGTTGAAAATTTAGAAATATTTTCGAAAATTCTGTCGAAATTTTCACATTTTGCCTGATACTCCAGGAAATGTAACGGGTCATTGTCCAAGTATCGAGCTATATGGCGTTAATTTGCTTCTCATGAGCTGTGTAGTGTGTTATTATTTGGATAATATGATCTATTTATTTTTCTTAGTGTATACGAACATTTTTACCGTGGACTAAAATTTCAAAACTCTGACAGCTTTATTGCCTCTGCGCCTCGAAAAATGTTCTGTAAAAAAATCAACACGAAAAACTTTGCCGCGGATTTCAATGCAAATATACATTGTATAAATATGTATTTACTGTTTTATTTACATTGTGTGGAATGTATTTATTAACTGTGATGAAATTATCTGCACATTTGTGTGTGGATATTGTACATTTATTAATTTATATTATCATGACGACTTGAGTAAAACAGATTTATTATTTATTCGTCGTTGTTAAATATTAGTTATTATTTACCGCTTAATTATATTTTAACACAATAATTAACAAATTATTTAGCTAATACAATTTTGAGAACGCGTGACGTACTTAGAAAAATAAATACAAAATATTGAAGGTTAGTAACATAAACAAACGCCATAACATGCATCGCTATTCGCTATTTGGAAAAAAAAATCAAACCAATTTCTCATAGTTTTAGTGGATTTTTAGTCTCGATTGTACGATTAAATGCTATTTAATATTTTTTCCCCTTCGATAAAGTATTTTTTACTTAATGAGGTGGAAGCGGCGATTTTATTTCTTGGCGACTTAATTCTCACTGCTCAGCAATTTTTATTCAGTCATGGTTAGCTCGTTTTCTACGGTATCATTTTCTTCGTTTTCTATGGACAGTTCTTGAGCGTATACTGTGTTCGTGGGAGCTATTGAAAAAAAAAAATCAAAACGTAGAAGGTAATCGTACAGAAATGCTTGTTTGCGTGAATTTTACAAGGTTGAAAAGCATAGTTAGCATACTAATGAATTATTCAGTGAATTTTAGGTTATCAGATGTACTTATTAGCATTACTCATAGAGTCATTTGTACTCTAAAATTTTACGACGATTTTACATACTTTTAAAGAAGATGAGAGGACGCAATAGAAATTTTTGGAGTTTAACCTCTTGGGAGCCAACGAAATAACGCTCCTCTCAACAGCGCCTCATAGTATGAGGCGCTGTATACATATATATAAATATAATACGCTATATTATATTATTTATATATATATACGCTGTATATATATAAATATAAAATATTTATTTAACGTATGAAGCTCATACGTTGTAAAATCAGCCCAAAGCACTTTCGACGGCGTTTTTAAAATATATTTAGAAAATGATTATGAAATTAAATTTATTTATCATGTACGTAATCGTAAGATACTGAACTATACGGTGAACATACTTTTTAGTCTGTATGAAAATATCTCCCGAAATTCATATCTTGAAGTTTTCTATTCTGCTAAGAATATTTTTTTCGTTCAAACAAAGCTCTCTAGTAATATAAATTTCTTAGGAATAATAAGTTGGTATGTTGTTATTTACAGGTGAGGTATTGTTACACCTCAGCCATAAATATAACATTATTTAATTCATACATTTTATAGATCAACGCTAGATAGACCTTCCTCTGCTGTTAAGTACCTGCAAATATTTTGGCCGACTGTTGATTACACCAGCAATTTTGCTAGCCTCATCTCCCTAATATAACGAGTCCAAAAGACTTAGTGGCTTTTCAGCCTTCAAAAATAATTTAGAGTAACGTTCGAGTTACTGGGCGATATCAAATAACTCGGGCGTCGACTCCGGCCCTGAGATACTGATGACGTAGAAAAATTTGATGGCCAACTATCGGAATTTATCAATGAGGTGTACTTAGTAACTTAGGTGTACTTATGATTTTGTACTTAATGTCGAGCCAAATTCCATCAATCAATTCGCCTTTTAACTTGATAATGAATGATAGAGACATTCGAAACGTCGTTAAAGAAATAAAAATGTCCTTCGGTAATCTGATTTTCCATTTACCCGTGCAAACTAAAAATCTTGTTCGATCTATTGAATAAACTAATAAGGAAATTGTCAATGAAACAAATTCTCTGGTCTTCAATGAAACCTGCTTTAACCCTTTCGTGACTGACGGACTGTGACGTCCCACTCAATGTTTTACTCCATAACTTGCATACAGCGTACCATTCGAGGCACAGCTTANGATTTACTCTATAACTTGCATGTAGCGCTAAATTCAAGGCATAGCTAACTACAGGGACATATTAGAAACACTCCTGCGCCTACATATGTCCAATCTAAAGGAATATTATTATTTGTTCTTTTTGGGGTATGTTGTTATAAGCTATTACACGCCACAATAACACGCGTTTGCCAAAGAAAGTTTGTGATATTATTCAACTACTAACAAAAAGTATTACGAAAATGTTTTTTTGCAAAATCAGTGATGTCGCAAATTTTTGTCACCTCAGTTGGAACCATATACTACCGGGATTTTCTACTCCAATTAATATAATTTTTACCATTAACATATATTTGACTATTTTTTACGGAGATGTAAAATTTAGTCCAAGTTCATGATGATTCTGTAGAAAAATACGAATAAAAAGTTGTAGAAAACATTGCCGTTACGAAAGGGATTAAGGAAC